ACGTCGCATGGCCGGGAACTGCGAATCCAGGTCCACCAAATCGGCCTCGCTCAGCTGGAGGTTTGTTTCCAGGACGCACGACGCTGACCGGGCGTTCTGTACCGTGCAGATCATCTGCGAGTCGCCACCCAGATGCGTCTCAATCATGCTGGCATATGTCATCGGCGTCAAGGCAGTAGTGGTGGTCGTGGAGGTCGTCGTCGTCGTCGTAGAGGTCGTGGAGGTCGTCGAGGTAGTGGAGGTAGAGGTCGTCGAGGTGGTTGATGTTGAAGTGCTGGTCGTGCTGGTCGTGGTCGCCTCGGGGGTCGATGAGGCCATGGTGGCGTCGGTTGCGTTCACAGCAGCTCTACATAGAACAGGAAAACAAGGATGACAAGGATTGGATTTTTGTATGTGAGAGATGAACCGCTGGCACGACGATACACACAAAACTCTCTACTCTCAAATAACAAGCACAGAATGGAACAAAACTTACGTCGAAGCATCGCGGCGCTGCAAGACATTGGTGTTTGTCGCCGTGGACACATCACCCTCGGTCGTGCCAGTCGAGGCGATGGCCGAGCTGGCAGCATCCGTGCTGGGCTCCATTGACGTGCCAGGCAAGGTGGTTGGCGCCGTCTCGTGGTCGTCGTGGCGGTGTCGTTGTGGGATCCAGCAGCGACAGGTCCAACACAAACTGGTACGTAAACGGACGATCGCTCTCCAGCAGCGACTCGGTCTTGGCCACCATCAGCGTCGACACACCCGCCACGCCGGCCTGGCCACGCATCGCCTCCAGATTGGCCGCATGCACCAGCCCAAAGGTGGACAGCGTCACCACCAGACCCTTGGTCGCCTCGCCCGTCACAGCATCCACCGTCACACCTCCCACACCCGCCGCATGGGCCGCCAGCAACGCCACTCCCGGCGACGTCTCGTTGGCCACCAGCGTCACGTTGAATCGCTGGCGGAAGTACAGCGTCACATCACCCACCAACGACATGCCCTTCTCAGACACAACCGACAGCGCCTCGGCATTCAGGTGTCCCGCAAAATCGGCCACCACACGCCCAGCCTGGCCCGCCACAGGCACACAGTCCAGCGGCATCAGGCCCAGCTCCAGCAGATCCGCCTCCACGTCCTCGTCGTCCTTCCACGTCTTGGCCGACAGCGTCACTCGCGAGCGTGGGTGGGCGCGCATCACCGGCACCGGCTGCAACACCTCCGATCGCTCCACCAGGTACTCACACAATCCGTGCCGGCACTCCAAATCCGTTCGTGTCATCACGTTCAAACGCGCCAGCATCGCCGCTCGCGTCGAAACCGAGTGCCGTGCACTCAGTCCCACATGGAACGCCTGCACAGGACTGGCCCGTGGCATGACAGCCGCAACGCCCTCCATGTTCGCCACCAGATCCAGGCTCACCTCAGACGAGTCCAGCGTGTCCACACGGCACACCGCCAGCCCACTGTGGTACGACCAGCACACGGGCTTCTCATACACGTTCACGTCCAGGGCGTACAGGGCATCGCCCAGCGCGCTCTCAGACTCCAGCTTGCTCGAGTCAATGGCTACCAGGAAACTGGCCGCAATCACCGCCTCGGAATCCTCCTGCACGCTCAGGTCCGTGTCAAACTCAACCTGGATGTACCCGCTCTTCTCAGACTGATCCAGCGCAGGCAGCACCTGCACCGTCTGCAGAGGCCCCAGTGCCCGGTTGCCCGACGAGTCCGTCGCCACCAACGACACCACCCGCGTGCCCACGCTTTGCGTCACACGCGACAGGTTGCGCGGAATGTACGAAAACGCATCGCTGTCCAGCACGCCGTCAAAGCGATCCGTGGCCGACGCGCCCTCCGGCACCAAGTAGCTCGAGCCCTGGCGCAGACGCACCACGCCCGCACGCGTCACCGACAGCGACGGCGGCAGCGTGTCCTGCACCGTCACCCGCCGCACAGCATGCCCCACCTGGTTGCAATCGTCCGTCACCGTGTAGTTGATCTGCTGCACGCCCAGCACCAGCACATCCAGGTTGTTCACCAGCTGTGCCTGATCCGTCACGTCACCGCCACAGTCGTCCATGGCCGATGCCACTCCCGGGTCCTCCCAGTCAAACGTCGCCTCGTGGGTCGTCACCGCCTTGCCCGCCAGCGTCAGCACCGGCGGCCGCGTGTCCGACACCACATACACCGTCGGCACCACAACCGCGTTGCCGCAGTCGTCCGTGTACGTAAAGTTGACGCTGGCCGTAAACGTCGCCTGACACAG